TAGAAACTTTCACAGCTGGTGCAGATGACAATTTGGAGTTTATTCTTGCTTAAATTCTTTGCTTAGATAGAGCAATCTGAGAGTGCTGAGAAACATACCGATGTAAGAAAAAAGCAGTTTCTGTGATCCTCTTCCTATATCTTACTTTATTTCTAGGTATCATCCTGGATTTGATGCACTTGAAGAAGCCTGGAGGGTTCGATATTTCTTTGTTCTACAGGGATATCATAAACACAGCAGAGGATGAGGACCTTGGGATTCAACCTGAGGAGTCAGGGAAACTGGAACATCTCATGAAGAAAGTACGAGCAAAGGAGACAAAGAAACGGACTTTAGTCAGGTTTGTGCCTAGTTATGATATTTCATTCAGTGGAGGCACCTGATGTTATTTTTAGGCTGCATCTCAACTCCCTCTTCTGGAATATAAAGGCATCAGTGCTTACATTCCTCAATCTTAATTCCTTAGTCCAAGATCGGTGTTTCTTCCGTAGCTTCCAAGGATTCTCCTTCATGTATGAGGAGAGTGAAGCTAGGCCTCCTCCTTCTTCCCTCATGTAAAATGGTTAGTTTATAGTGAAATCTGATTGAAATGAGGCTTTTCTTAATAGTGTTAGCTTAGAAAAAATTCGCCTCAATGTGACTGGTAGGTATTTTGGCCTGTTATTAAACAGTTCTATGTGGCCGCTCTGTCTAGGCTCTTGGTGTGGATTCACACAGCCTTGATATATTTTTGATCTCCTACTGAAAGATTAGAGATACTTACAGAGAGATTAAAGGGATATTGACAAAGCAGATAGAAAGTATTTTTGGAAACACGTGCTTCGTAACAGGGTTTTTTAATGAGTGAGTTCGTAGCAGAATGATGTGGAAGCACAGTAAGGGAATGAACTTCATGGCCTAGTGTTTTTTTAATATAAATATTTTTAAAAAAATCCCAACCTGAGCTGTTGTCACTGGCATTCTTGCTCCTGCTCACAGCTTTATTTTCCTCTTCTGGGAATGTTCTTCAAATTTTCTAATAACTGAGGAGGAAGAATCCCTTACCACTGATACCTTTTTAAAGGAGAGGAAGTAACACTCACAGTAATTCACTGTTCTGCTCTCAGAACTTGAAGATTGCCTCCAATTTTAAAACTTTACTTCTCATTTTTTCTCTAACTTCTAATTATTATTTTTTTCCTAAATCATGGTATTATTTGTATAGATGGGGTTCTTTTGGGGAATTTTGCCTTTTGCATGAACAGCTGTGTGAATTCAGAGGTCACATTGCATTAAGCACAAGTAGGGTGCCCAAATGTGAACTTGTCCTGTGCTCTGCTTGACCATAACTGCTCTTCAGAGTGAAAAAAAGTGAAAGAAATGTGGAAAATTATCTGTTTAAATAATTTTTATGACCAGAAGTGACAGCATTGCAAGAATGTTTTTATACAAGTGAGATTATGACTCAAGTAATAGTATGTTTCCAGAGATACATGTGATTTTGGGGGAGGGGACTAGGAGGACATCAGAGAAAATAAGTTATCTAAGGAGATTACTTCTGTTTGCAAAAGTAATCTTTTAGAAGTCTCAAGTCTGTATCTGCTTTTTTTACACAGGTTAAATCTGTATCTGAACAAAGATCTGTCGCTTTCTGTTGGTGTTTACAACCTTCTTCAAAAAGCTTATAAGCCGTATCCAGTGAAGCTTTATCGGGAAACTAATGAACCGGTTAAAACAAAAACAAGGATGTTTAATGGAAAAACAGGCAGCTTGCTCCTGCCTAGTGACACAAAAAGGGCTCAGGTATTGATTATGTGCCTGCTTTTTCCTGACTCTGTGTTGACGGGGAATCATAGAATCATCTAGGTTGGAAGGGACCTTTAAGATCATCGGGTCCAACCATTAACCTAACAGTGCCAAAACCACCACTAGACCGTGTCCTGAAGCACCGTGTCCACCGATCTTTTTAAATACCTCCAGGGATGGTGATTTGACTGCTTCCCTGGGCAGCCTGTTCCAATGTTTGATAACCCTTTCTGTGAAGAACTTTTTCCTAGTATCCAATCTAAACCTGCCCTGGCGCAACTTGAGGATATTTCTTCTTGTCCTGTCACTTGTTACTTGGGAGAAGAGGTCAACCCCCACCTCGTTACAACCTCCTTTCAGGTAGTTGTAGAGAGCAATAAGGTCTCCCTTCAGCCTCCTTTTCTCCAGATTAAACAAGCACAGTTCCCTCAGCCACTCCTTCGTCTCCCTTTGCTCCAGACCCCTCACCAACTTTGTTGCCCTTCTCTGGACACGCTCCAGCACCTCAATGTCTTTTGTGTAGTGAGGGGCCCAAAACTGAACACAGTATTCAAAGTGCAGCCTCACCAGTGCCAAGTACAGGGGCACAATCGCTTACCTAGTCCTGCTCACCACACTATTACTGATACAGGCCAGGATGCTGTTGTACCACCACCACTCCACCACCCACGCCCCCGGCAATTGTTTTTATGCTGGCAGCACTACTATCTGCTCTTCCCTGGTTTAGGTGTATGGAAACCGCCAGATTGTTTTGGAAAAAGAGGAAACAGAAGAAATAAAACGTTTTGATTCTCCAGGCTTGTTTCTGATTGGCTTCAAACCACTCTCAATGCTAAAACAGCACCACCATATCAAGCCCTCCCAGTTCATGTATCCTGAGGAGTCCCTAATAAGTGGTAAGTAAAGATGGCAAGAAAAGATTCACCACCTTGCATTAGGGTGACCAGCTGATTCATAGTGTGTTTGAGTGGGGATCGAGTGTAAAATCTTTGTCGATCTTAAAAACTTGCTAATGTTAAAAAGTATAGAATTAACTGTTGCTGCCCCCTCAGCTGCAGTTAATTCTTGTTTTCTTCTGTAGCAAAAGAGCCAATTTGGCTTCATGTTTCATCCATCAGTGACAAGCAGCTAATAAAACTATGCACACATAGTCCCAAAAATATTTAGTTTTGTCATTCATGAAAGTGAAGGATCCTAGTACCTAACAAGAAGGCAAAGGTGGTTAAAAACCAACCAAACAACAAACCAAAACCAAAAAACAAACTCCAAACCTGTGAAGATAATTGCTGGTTTTTAAGTCCATATCAGCTAGAAGTGGAAATACAATACTCAGGAAATACGGTTGAATTAACAGCACTTTATGGGCTTGTAAAGAGAGAAGGAGTGGGTCCTTAGGACTGCTTTTTCTCCCCTTTTTATGTGTATATGCAAGTCTGCTTATCTCAAAATACAGTATTAATCAATCCCAAACTGGGATAGTAAAGAAAAAAACTCCAGCTCCTCAATTTACTGGTGGATAAAGAGGGCTGAGTTAGGACCAGATGCTTTGCAGTGTCTGACTAAAGCAGAACCCTAGTTTCTCCAGCTTGGCAGTTTCCTGAATCAAACACCTTGCTTATATGCCGTTCTTTTCCTGACCACCATATCTGGTAAAATACAAAGCAAACGCGTGTCTCGAGAGGAATATTGCCATCTGAATTCTTAGTGTGTTACTTCTGCAAAAGGTCCTATGATGTGTTGTTACTATGATGTCCCACCAGACCAGATAGAGGCTTTGTAGATACCTGTTTCCAATTTTCAACCATATTTCATTCCTCAGACACTAGTGATTTCATTTCTTTCATCAGAACTCTGACTGCTCTGGTCAGGACAGACACTAACATTGTAATTTTCAAGGTCTTGCCCTTCCAAAAGTTGCTTTTTGCCTCTGAACTATTGCAAGCATCTGAAAGAAATCACAGGTATTGAAACTGTACTATCTAGGGTTACAGTCCTGAACAAAGAAGCAAAGCTGTCAACCTTACCAATACAGCCCTTACTTTGCAGGGAGTACAACGCTATTTAACGCATTATTGATGAAATGCTTGGAGAAGGAAGTGATGGCACTGTGCAGATACACCGCCCGCCGGAACACTCCCCCTCGCATCGTGGCCCTGGTCCCCCAGGAGGAAGAGGTGGATGAGCAGAAAGTGCAGATAGCCCCTCCAGGTATGGGAAGAGGTGCTGCCTTTCCCTGCATGATTGGATGCCGTCACCATAATCGCCTCCTGTATTGCGTAAAAATATTCTTGGTGCTGCTCCCCTTAACTGGGGAGAGTGCTTTCCAACAGTTCTTTTCTTCAGTTGTGTCATTGTAAGCATCTGATGTTGAATCTGCTTTTAAAACTCTGGTTCCGTCAGTGTGTGCTCAGGTGTAACATGGCTACGGTATTTTCCCACCTCCTACCTTTTTTTAGCAGATTCAAGTAACTGACCTAAAACTTAA